TGGGAATAAATGTTAGTACCCTCTTTTTCAGGACAACGGCTTAAAGGAACGAGGGTAGTTTATTTTAAAAATACTTTCTAAAAAATGTCTATATGACTGTCAAAATTGCATTAAATACAAAAAAAGTTTTAAATTATCTATATATTAATACGTGAAGCAAAAACTTTGTATCCCTTTTTACGAAAATTGCGCGGACGGAGGAGTATGAAATTTTCCACACTTATAGAGAATATAGAGGAAGTGCACAATGATAATAGTTTTTTAAAATAATGCATAAAAGATACATTAAATCAATAAAGAAAACATTACACACACTACATACCATGTATTTGACGCACACACGCATGGATACTATTTATTGTCAAACTTTTGTTCTTGACACTGAAGTACTTGACGTCTGTGGTCAAATTGAGAATAGATTAAATATTGCTTGTCAAGTCTTTGTTAATATGTTTTTATAGTGTACCCTTGGCGAAATTTGTGAATAAAGAAGTATAAAATAAAATCATAATAGTGTACAAACTTACAATTCCAATTAATTATAGTCGAATTTCGACTACTGCGGGATCTCTATTATTATAATAAAATCAAAGTTTTTTCTCAAGCTCCAATGTAGAATCATGGCTTCAAGTCCAATTAGATCTATTTATAGTGTTTTTATTGCACTAAAAGGGGGAATAAGCTCACACCCTATTTGGCATTAAGTGGTTACTGAAGGTGAATTTCGCTAAATACGAATTTGAAATCTCAATTTTATTGTATAACTCTGATCCACGATTCAAATTGGTGTCATCTAAAAATAGGTATGGTGGTGGTTGTACGTAAATGGGACCTCTAGTTTATTATGATTTTACAGAAAACTGAATGGAATCGATAGAACACGGTATGAATATTATGTTAGAGGTAAAAATTAAGCTCTAAATTGTTTATTATGATTTAATAAATAATGGAATGGGATTGATAGAACACGGAATGAATAAGTTAGAGGAACTCTGAAAGTGGCACCTGTGACAGAGATGTTAAGAAGCGCGCGTTTGGGATATTATGCACATTTTATGAGACGAAATGACAATGAGGTTGTTAAGAGAGCTTTAACTATGAACGTGGAAGGCTTTAGAGGAAGATATAGACCTAAGAAAAAATGAATGGATTGCGTGAAACACGATATGGGTAAGAAGGGAGTGAGCGGTGAAATGGTATATGATAGTAGAGTATGGAAAGAGAAAGCATTTTGCGGTAGGCAGCGGCTTGGCTCTGCTCCTGGCATTGCTGAAGTCCATGGGCGACGGTAACCACTTACCATCGGGTGGGCCGTACGCTCGTCTGCCTACAAAGGCTATAAAAAAAAAGCATGTTGCGCCGACCCCTGGTGACTGGAGAAGGGCAGGAGAATGACAATGACAATGACAATAATTATGATGATGATGAAAAATGTTTTTGTATTACTTTATTATTTACAACCAAGGTTTCCCTATTTACTCATAGATTTTATGACTACTCAAATCAATAAAGTGACGTTTGTAATTAGATAATGTAATTTACGTAATGTAAGTAATAAATGTAACCAACAAAAACCGCTGGCGTCGAGCCAGATACCCGGATGGCTATTTACACCTTTCTTATTTTATCACGTACGATTAATAATAAATAAATAAATGAATTGCTGTTCGTTAGTCTCGCTAAAACTCGAGAACGGCTGCACCGATTTGGCTAATTTTGGTCTTGAATTATTTGTAGAAGTCCAGAGAAGGTTTAAAAGGTAGATAAATATGAAAATGCTCGGAATTATATAAAAACAAAAAAAAAAAATTCGCTTTGATGTGTCCCCTTGATGTGTCTTTTATTTATCGATTGAGGGCACTACGAAGTCTGTCCGGTCAGCTAGTAATTAATATAAATAAATAGATTTACTTCGTAGTATAAAATCATTCTATAAATATTGTAAGCAAAATTTACAAGGTCGATCTTCAGATATAATTATGAATGTGTTTTTTATTAATTTATTTTTTATTGCGTAGATGGGTGGACGAGCTCACAGCCCACCTGGTGTTAAGTGGTTACTGTAGCCCATAGACATCTACAACGTAAATGCGCCACCCGCCTTGAATTATAAATTCTAAGTTCTCAGTATAGCTACAACGGCTGCCCCGCACTTCAAACCGAAACGCATTACTGCTTCACGGCAGAACTAGGCAGAGTGGTGGTACCTACCCGTGCGGACTCACAAGAGATCCTACCACAAGTAATGTGAAATTAGTACAAGTTTCATATTAGTATAATTAGTATAAAGTTAGTAAGATCGCGAAGAACTGAATAGAAAGCAAAGATCGGATACTCTAAAGAAAGGGAATCCCAAATCACTGATGTGCAATATTTTATTCATGCATATTTTAATGTTTCTTCTTTCGCCTCTAGTCTGACTGCGAGTAATTAGTCATTCGTGGTAGCTGTGAAGAGAGTATAAGAGAAAAATATGAAATATACCCTAACATGAACACTAGGAAAACTAATAAAAGCGTTTTAAAAAATTATTCTTTTGTAACAAAGATCCAGCAATGTCGCTCTCCGTGGAAATACTTCTCATTTCAGATATATTCATAATTTAAAACAAATTGTGGAAACTAGGATGAGTCTTCTAGACATTAACAAAAAAAATCAACTCTAGAATAACAGATTAGAACTTTTCAGATCGTTCAAAAATTTGCAAATTCACGAAAATATTTCTTTCGTTGAGAGAAGATAATAGATGAAGCTTCGCATCGAAAGCTCCAAACACTTTTTGCATAACAGCTTAAAGCGTGAATAGCCAAGAGCAAAATTCTTGTTGGATTTGATAATCACTTGGCTCAATAACGGCATGATATTTTCAAAAATATAATCAGCGCCGTGCTTTTTAATAACGTATTTGCTAAAAAAAATTAGCAGATACATCATCTGCTCATTTTTTGCTGGTGGTAGGACCTCTTGTCAGTCCGCACGGGTAGGTACCGCCACCCTGCCTATTTCTGCCGTGAAGCAGTAATGCGTTTCGGTTTGAAGGGCAGGCCAGCCGTTGTAATGCTAAAAATGAGACCAACTCATGCCTCAAGGTGGGTGGTGGCATTTACGCTGTAGATATCTATGGGCTCCGGTAACCACTTAACCAGGTGGACCGTGAGGTCGTCCATCCGTATAAGCAATAAAAATAAATAAATAAATGTGTTAGTAGTTGGTGAGCCGTGAGCTGGTCCACGCATCTAAGCAACAAAAAAGGTTCATTTCTCAAAATAGGCTGAGGCGACTCGTATGTTATACCAAGTGCTTAAATTGATATAAAGGAATGTGTGCAGTAAAGGTAATATTATTGAAGTGAAAACTTCTTTAGAATGGTTGTGATTTCAAACCGGATGCAACGGAAAAAACGACAGGTAAGAGACACAAATACAAAAATGTGTAGGATGAAGCCAGCAAAGAATGAGACAGAAATATACATACTATTTAATACAGCGCCATCTGTGAGATTTTTTAATACTAACGTGTGTATGAAAGCTCTTGTAGTGAATTTTAATTTAGGATTATACGTGAAATTAAAATATCAATTCACAGAGGGCGCTACCTTACAATTATTTACTAATGACAAAATTTTACATATACTTAAGACGTTTAGGATAATTGTATTTTAATTTTGGAAGGTTTCACTTCTACCACGTGTGAATTGCACACATGTATTTTTAATTGTATCTCTTTCTGGTGTCGCTTTTTCGTTTTCATCAATTTTCAACTCACAGCATTACTAAAAAAAGGTTCAAACCCGGAAATCATTCGGTCACAATAACATAATTTTATTGACTAGTGGTCCCACGGTAGTCGAAATTCGACTATTATAATTAATTGAAATTATAGGTTTGTACACTATTATGATTCTATTGTCAAAGACTTATACTTCTATAATCTACATCTTAGACAAATATTAATAAAGACAAACAATATTTAAACTATACTTAATTTGACCACAGACTATAAGCAATAAGAAAAGTTTGACAATAAACAAATAGTATGCATGCGTGTGTGTGTCAAATACATGGTCGGGTGTGTAATGTTTTTTTTTATTGATTTAATGTATTTTTATGCATAATTTAAAAAAAAAATCACATTCTGCATTCCTTTTCTATATTCTCTATAAGTGTGGAAAATTTCATACTCCTCCGTCCGCGCAATTGTCGTAAAAAGGGGTACAAAGTTTTTGCTTCACGTGTTAATATGTAGATTACCAAATGGACCATGCACATCCGAGCATCAGTTATGTTTCGACAGAATTTGATAGCTTTATTTAATATTTCGTTTTTAATTGTCAAGGCCGGATTCGTATCAAAGAATTTTTCGAATAATCAACAGAATAACTTTACGTATGGAACGAAAGCGGGTTTCATTAGTTTAAGAAAAATTAGTTCTGACATTCGATTTAAAATATGTTTATGTATTTTATGCTTTTATCTCGCCTACTGGACTTATTTATTCTGTGTATTTAGATCAAAATAAAACAAATCAAAACCAAAAATGGTTGTATAAATTATCTATAACATTAGAAGCTTGAATTTTATTATGTTGAACTTCAAAAACGATATCCATTCTTATAATGCTACTAAATTCGACCGCCTTAATCTCAATTTGGACATACGATATTTCTTAAATTTATGTCTATTAAAATTATCTTCTATTTAATCCACGAATGAAGCTTAATTTTTAATAATATGCGCGTCATGATATCATAATATAAGAGAGAAAAAAATTGTCACCAGGCGCGCAGAATCCAGTACAATTCGTCTTTAACGAGACGCGATCCATTTGTCACTAATGTACTTTAGAATCTCTTTACACTTCATGTGACCCTGGTATTTCAATGTCATATTACTATGTTGGTAAATTAAAATAAATCTTTTTTTTGCGTAAATTATTAATTACATGTTTTTTTTTAGTAACAAACGAGTTACTTATAATTTAATTGGCTAATATAATCATACCTTTGCATCTCCCGCGTGGTGAGTGGTGAAGTGAACGTGTACTATCCTTCACAGCGAGGGGAGAACTGAGGACTGACGCCTGTTGGTTGTACAAGGGTGTATTTGATCTGTATAGAGCTGTTAATATAGCGTATCACGGTGAAAAAAAAAATACAGTAAAACGTAGACAAAGAGAACGCTATAGATTAATGAAGTTTATTTACAATAATATTACGATATAAAAGTAAATAACTAACTATTCGAGAATATATAATTTAGGCGCCAAGATATACAGATGATTTTAAACCCCATAGGAAGCAACTGTTTAAAAATTTTAACACAATATGTAAAAAAAACATGATGAAAGAAATTTTTGCTTACTAAATTTTAAAATTATGTTTATTGATTTATTTCTGATTATTCGTTTGTTGTTTGCATTCCGTGAGACTTCAATATCCTGCCTTAGGTGGGTAAGCTGCATTTACATTACGTCCTATCATAATTATAATATACTCGTAATAAACTACCTAATATTTTACAATATTTTCAGCACGCATTCTGTCAATGTTATGTTGAACGCCATAAGGTTACATTCAAAAATCATTAGAAAATTTAATATGCTGGTTAATTTTTCTAATTTTGCGCGACATTCTCTTAATTTTTTCTTCATTAAGAACCTTCTCCTGACAATAACAAACGCAAAAAAAAAAATGAATTATCCAATTTGTTGCCGGCGTTCTAAAGCTATGCGTCTACATACATTGCACAGATTCATTTTCATACATAAGATAATTCTATACAACTAATTAATTGTAAAGCTAGGCTGTTTTATGTTATTAACTGAGGGTATGTAGATTACTATTACGTGAGTTTGTCTACCTAAAATATATGCAAAATTGTAATAAATTTACAGTAATTAACAACTCTATATAGTTCCTCGTGTTGGGCGCCTGAAACTCTGCGTGAACCGATTGGAACACCGCGCCCGCCCAGCAACAGTTAGTTCAGTGTTGCTAGATTAAAAAAAATGGAAATACTTACTAAGGATTTTTAGTGACGCCATTACATAGAAACGGATAAGACGATACATTAAATTTACTTAAAAATCAAATCTGTTTCAATTTAAATTCCATCATAAGATACATGTTGTAGGTCAAAACGTGTGAAACATTCCATCGGTAAGAGAGCTTCGTTTTTTTTTTACCGAAAACAAACTTCGCGTCTTACATTTTAGTAAAATATGTTGATATAATTTCTTTTTAATGCACAATAATAATTTTACGTATCAAAATAATCCCAGATTTTTTTAATCCTGGCAACACAAATCACTTTCTCGGGAAAGGCTTCTATTAACCAACCAATATAAGTTGCAAACGAAACTGACAATAATATTTGCTCAGCAGAACCGTCTTTACTCCGCCGCATTGCTTGGATGCTGAGGTTGGCAATAACTTTAAAGATTCTGCCAATGTAATATAGGTCTTTGCACAGTAGCAATAAGGTGTTTCTCAAATTTTCCACTTAATCAAACGCGACCTATATTCGTTCTACTATTTTTCTTACTCGCATTTCACTTGACAGCTTTGATTAGTTAAAGCTGTAAGAGCTTACGTTTCAAGATCGAGCTTTAAATTCAAGCACAACTTTTCATCGACTATACAACTGCCTTATTAAAAATGCTTCAATTAAATACATTTTCTTTGATATTCCAGAAATGTATTATGTATGATTACAATGATTGTGGCCTAATTATGGTGGAGATAATTGTATCCTATCAGTGCTGATGCACGACAGCATAGCGGCAAAAATAGGCATGATTGTGGTACTTACCCGTACGGGCTTTTCTATGATTGAATGATTACTGGTGGCCTCGAGGCCTTTCTATTTTTACCAGGACAGGTGGGCGAGCTAAGGCTTAGCCAGAAGGTATCAGATTTGCTAACAGCTGCCCGAGCGCCTCCATAGGAGACTTAACAGCTCAAAGGCATCTGCTTCGCGAATGAATCTACTACCGGATCGTTATCCGATATATGTATATGATAAATATGATAATATGATAATATATGATAAATTATACACTGAGTGTAAAATAAGTGTCTCTAAATGGCTCAGATCTAAAAACTATGACGAACACACACACACACACACACACACATATACACACACACACACACACATACACACACACACACACACACACACACACACACACACATTTGTTATGTATAATTGGTAGTATTGTAGTATATAAAATGCTTTTATGGAAGAGCGGAGTCTCCTAGTAAAGGCTTGCACGCTTAGAAAGAGGCTCCAATAATTGTATTGTTTTGACTCGCTTTTGAAAATAAAGAATTTTTATATTTTGTACAAAAAAAATGTATTTTGTAATCGCGACCCGCTGAGAAGATCCGGCGAGAAACTCAGCGGGCTGATGCATGGGTTAGGTTGCACGACAAACGATGCAATCTACCCCCTGTAAATACAGGATTAGCTCGGTGGTACTGTAGTTAGCGCTCCTAACTGTTGCGCTGAGGGTCGTGGGTTCGATTCCCACATTGGGCAATCATTGTGTGATGAATAGGTTTGCTTGCTCTTTGTCTGGATGTTTGTTATCTGTATACGTATATCGCACATACAGTGCTACAACTTCACTTATGCAAAGTATGTAATTTTTCAGGTGAAGAATTTGAAAATTCAACATCTTATTACAATTATTATTTAATTCTTCTCGACTAAAGAATTTGTATTTTTTTTTATTGCCTAGGTTGGGGAAAGAGCTTCAGGGGAACCAGAATCAGTAAAAGCAAACTTCGCACTTAATAACTATATTCTATATATATAAAAATGAATTGCTGTTCGTTAGTCTCGCTAAAACTCGAGAACGGCTGGACCGATTTGGCTAATTTTTGTCTTGATTAATTTGTGGAAGTCCAGAAAAGGTTTAAAAGGTGGATAAATATGAAAATGCTCGGAATTAAATAAAAATAACAATTTTGTTTTTCCTTTGATGTGTCCCCCGTCGGACAGATTCCTTTTGTTTGTTATAAGTTTATTTTATACAAAAAATTAGGTATTTTATTTATAGATTGAGGCACTACGAAGTCTGCCGGGTCAGTTAGTAATTATTTAAAATTGATTTTCTCAAACTCAGTCCAGTTTTAACAAGAATCGCATAAGTTACATTATAGCTCTCTATGTGCGATGTATTCAAACGTGTATGTATGCCAGTCTCTGGTACCGATAACACAGAGGTTCCGAAATCCGAATGACCGTGCGTGATTTTTTCCAGTTATTATTTTAAAAAAATCCTTTTTTTTTCCCAGTTATTATTAAATTTTTTTACTTTTTTTTTGTCAGCATACGCTGGTACGTATTTATCATTTACGGGCAAAGTAAATAATAAGGAATAAATATTATTAATGCCTGTTAGTTAATTGAGTTTTCTTCTGTTTCTAAAAACTTACGAACAGTTCTACAGGTATTTAATATGGCAGCTTTTTGTAGTTGCATGAAAGTGTTGGGTTTCAGATCAATTAACTTCAGGCTGTGGTGGAGGTGCAGGGACAACGCTTGTGGTGGAAATGACTATTATTATTATTATAGTGTATTAAACACTGCCACGCCTGGGAAGACCTTATTATTATTATTATTAACGGCCGTCTGGTGTAGTGGTGAGTGACATAGTCACTATACAAGGGGATCGCGGGTTCGAATCCCGCCAAGGGAAGATATTTGTATGATAAATATAAATGTCTTTTCCAGGGTTATGGATGTATATTATATATATGTATGTGTATAATAAAAATCTTACATTTATATCCGTTATCTGGTACCTGTAACACAAGTTCTTTACGAACTTATCACGGGACCAGTTAACGTGGCGTGATTGTTAGTAAATATTTGTTTATTATTTATTTATTATTATGACACCCACTGGTAGATATGAGTGGTGGTATTCTAAGCGCACACTATACAGCCACATTATTGTTCCACACTGAGAACAAGCTCCACTGAAACTTCAGTGAGTTATTGGGGTCGCGAAAGGGATGTAACTTGCCAACGTTATTGGACTTTCGACCCTTTTAGCCCTTTAACTCATCAGCAGACGTAAGAGCAAATTTTCGTGAGATACACACCTATATATATTCATAATGTAAGTAAATTGCCTTCCTTTTGAACATTTGGGGCCCAGGTTCGGAGCGCGCGGAAGATATTCCAGCTTAAAACATTTTTTTTGCCGGTCGAGTTAACAACTAAACTTAAACTTACTGATGGTAGGACCTCTTGTGAGTACGCACGGATAGGTACCACCGCCCTGCTTATTTCTGCCGTGAAGCAGTAATGCGTTTCGGTTTGAAGGGTGGGACAGCCGCTGTAACTATACTTGAGACCTTAGAACTTATATCTCAAGGTGGGTGGCGCATTTACGTTGTAGATGTCTATGGGTTCCAGTGACCACTTAACACCGGGTGGGCTGTGAGCTCGTCCACACATCTGGGCAATAAAAAAATTTAAAAAGAAGTGGCAATGAAATTGACCTACTTCGTATAATATGAGTATAATAAATTGTTATCGAGCTAAAAGTCAAATGTCACTAAAATCTAAGTTTGAAATTAAAAACAGTCTGGATATGAGAGCATTTATCGAACATAAACAATGTACGTAGAAGTTATTATTAAATCATAACTAAAAAAAAAACAAACGTGTGGCACTCGGAAACTGCCGCGGTAAAGCTAATGCATAGCATTTTTTATCAACTTATGCAATTATAATTAGACAATGATAATTTAATATTAAAACAATAATAAAACAAGACCACGCTGTATTAAACATTAATAAAAACAAAACCTTAACTGTCCCCTTCACACTCATAAGCTAGACAGCGCGAGAGAGAGATGGGCAGACTTTTCATGATGCGCATGCAGTGTGACGTCATAACACGCGCTTATTCACAAACATTACACAAGCGCAACGTGTGGATGTGTTGAACGCGAGCTACATGGTAAGCGGAGTGAGAGGTGTTAGGTTATTTACGTTACGGAATTTCATGATTCGGTCGCCGCGCTGAAGGCCCGCGATAAAAGCTATGCAATAGCTTAAAATTTCATTTGTAATACAATGTGTTAGTTTAAAATTGGCATAGTAATTTGTCGAAAAAATCTCCATATTTTACGCCTCTTAAATCTCCGACACTGATGCACGGACACATTGTAGAATAGTCATAGGGGAATAATCGGGAGCAGCATTTTCTTGGGTCAAATCCGTCGCTTGCGACAAGGGCTCAGCCCATAATTTAGTACAAACTTACCTAAGAAAAGTGGCAACGAAATTGATCTGGTTTGATAATATTAGAGGTTAAAGTATGAAATTGCCGATTTGTACGGAAAAATTAAATTGGTTTTTTTTTCTTCATTTAACATATTTATTTTATCAAAATATCTACCATTATTATCTATACGTTGTGCCATCTAATAGGAAGGACATTTATTGTACCTTTGCTATATAACTCTGGTCATAGGTCTGTGGTAGATCCAAACGCAACATTGATATTGCGAGCTGTTTCTGGAGCGTTAGTTTCGCGTCGGAATTGTATTCAAAAATGACTCGAAATTTTCGAAGTATCCATCTTTCTTGTCTGAGCTGAATAAAGCAACTGAAAGTCGATAATCGAATATTGCACATATTTTAAAAAAGAACCTCATTGTACCATTTGAAAAAAGTTTCACTCAAAAATCTTGAGCCGTGCACGTCATTTCGGATCCTCCCGATCCACTAGCGGTGCTTTTAGGTACCTCAAGCACCGGTCACCGTTCTCGTCGAACCCGTCGCTTGCGACGAAGGGCTCGACGAGTAAATTAACCCTCAGACACAGCCCACTGAGTTGCTCGCCGGATCTTCTCGGTGGGTCGCGTTTCGAAACCGGTGGTAGATTCTGCGAAGCACGGCTCTTGCTAGGGTTCGTGTTAGCAACGTCATCAGGTTTGAGCCCCGTGAGCTCGCCTACTAGTTAAGGCGACGCTGATATAGCCTCTCAATGCTAAAATCAGCTTAGGTAGGAAAAAAAAGGCAAAAAAAAACCAACCGTGAAGGTTCTGTGTCAATTCGAAGTACCTATTACAATAAAACGGCAATTTCATACTTTAACCGCTATTAAATAAGTTATTTATATTCTTCATTTAAACATTGAAAATAGTCGCTCATAGAAAGATTAGTATGTTCACGGTTATGTAAAAGCGTAAACAAAAATAATCGTTATACAATTATTATGATACCATTTGACATTTTATGATAACATCCTATTATCATAGAATATAAAAACGCAAAGTTGTTTTAGAACTCGCATAGGGCGCAACTAGGGCCTCAGTGGTACATGTGAGTTATTATTCTTGAATATTATAAAACTAATAATTCATTTTTAACATCAACAATTTCAAATATTTTCGTTTTTTTTTTACGAAATTATTTATTACATATTATTACATAGATACATATTACGTATATTGCCGAGATAGTAAAATAGAGAAGTTAATTTTTAAAGAAAAAACCATTAGTCGATCCAATTTAAATTTTCATTTTAAAATAATAACTATATATTTTTATATTATACTAGCTGACCCGGCAGACTTTGTAGTACCTCAATTGACAAATAAAAGACCTAAACTATTGTATAAAATAAACTTAAAACAAATAAATAGAATCCGTCCGACGGGAGACACATCAAAAGGAAAACCAAATTGATATTTTTATTTAATTCCGAGCATTTTCATATTTATCTACCTTTAAACCTTCCCTGGACTTCCACAAATAATTCAAGACCAAAATTAGCCACATTGGTTCAGCCGTTCTCGAGTTTTAGCGAGACTAACGAACAGCAATTCATTTTTATAATAATATATAAGAAAGACTAGCGACCCGCCCTCGCTTCGCTTCGGAAAGTGTTATTTATTAATGATTTCTCCACTATTTAATGAATGGTATTGTACATATAAGCCTCCGTCTTCAATCACTTTATCTATTAAAAAAAATCTCATCAAAATCCGTTGCGTAGTTTTAAAGATTTAAGCATACATAGGGATATAGGGACAGAGAAAGCGACTTTGTTTTATACTATGTAGTGAAGATAGAAGATTATTTCAGCTAACACTGTTTTTTTTTTGTTGCAGTCAAGATGACGTTCAAGCATTTAGCGGTGCTATTGACGTGCATGCTGGCCACTGTAGCCAGTGCCGACCCCGGCGTAGTTGAAAGCACAACGACCCCAAACGTTGACAGCTCTAACAATGAACTGTCTGAGCCCCAGTTTGCTTCAACCAATGAAATGGTCAATAACCTCTACAATACGGTTGTTTCCGAAAACTACGATGATGCGGTCTCCCAGGCCTTAAACTGTATGCGCTATCATCGACCCGACGTCATTAAATCAGCCGTCAACTTGTTAATTGAACACAAAAGATCATATATTGCCGGTTTCGCATACAAACTGGCGGCTGCCGGTGGCGCAGATATTGTAAGGTCCCAGTTCCCAACGGCGTACAGAATGGTGCTAAACGATACTTTTATAAAATTCATCAACTACCAAGATCGCGTTTCCTTTGAATTAGGCCCAACTCCGGACTTTGCCGACGACAAGAGGCTCTACGGCAACCACCGTCACCCGCACAGCCAGAATTACCATTGGAAGCTCGAGCCCGTGGTGGACGGTAAAATGATTTATTTCAAGATACGTCATCGTCTAGAAGATAGGTACTTGAAGTTTGGCAACCACATGGATGGCGACGGCGACTATGAAGCGTATGCTTCCGTAAACTCAGACACGAACAGGCATCTGTGGTCATTCCAGCCTGCGATGTACAATGGGGAACTGTTGTTCTTCATTATCAATCGTGCGCATGTCCAAGCGCTAAAGCTCGGCAGAAGCGTATATGTAGGTGATCGCATCCTCTACGGTCAAGGTGGAAACTTTGTCGCCCACCCTGAACTTTACGGCTGGACCATCGAAACTCTCGGAAATAGTACCAGTTCATAATTATTATCAGGGACTAGAAATCCACGTTCAATATTAACACAACATTTTTGTTGAAATTCTTGCCTTCGTTCACAGCGTACCGCAATGTCTGTTTTTATTTAAAACTAGCGACCCGCCCTCGCTTCGCTTCGGAAACATTAAAACACACATGAAATAAAAATAAAAAATAAAAAAAATTAAAAAAAAGTAGCCTATGTTCATCAGGGACAATGTCGGCTTCTAATGGAAAAATAATTTTTCAAATCGGTCCAGTAGTTTCGGAGCCTATTCGAAACAAACAAACAAACAAATCTTTCCTCTTTATAATATTATAAGTATAAGTATAGACCACAGACTAGTTAGTAAACAATACTTTTCTTATTTTATTGCTCTTTAATACAGATGTCTATGGGCTTTAGTATCCACTTAACACCAGGTGGGCTGTGTGAGCTCGTCCACACATACAAGCAATAAATAAATAAAAATTCATATTTGTTTTTGTTTTGTTTTAATGTTGTCTTTTATCCTCAAAGTAAATAAAATTCTATCAAAGAACCCACACCAACCAACCTTACTTATGCATTTTGTTACATTATTGATAGCAAGTCATCAAGAACTATATCAAATTAGAATAACTACAACTCCACAGTGTCTCATAGAAATATTGTATATAATAATATGTGGAAAACGGAACGTTTCGAGTGAAAGGGATGAATGTATGAGGAAGAAAGGGACGGAGGGGAGATGGTTAAGATGGCGATCGGGCACGAGATGTGTGAACATTTTACGACATGTTAAAATATTAAATTTTTAGTACTTTTCCAAAAAAAGCTGTTATTTACTTTGAGTAAATCCCACATATTTTGGGGGCTCGTCCGGGATACGCTCAGTTTATAAAATAGCAAGAAGACGATCAAAGTGAAAAGTGACCGACGCGGCGGCGTGGTGTGGCATAGCCTTGAGACGTTATCGCAACGACGTGTGAGACGGGCACGAAAGATAGGCAAGACGCGCCTATTACAACGACTTTCGTATCTGCACGGCACGAGTTTTTTTTTTTATAAGCAATAAAAACAAATACCTCGTGCTGTGCAGAGGGGTGGACGAGCTCACAGCCCACGTGGTGTTAAGTGGTTACTGGAGCTCTACAACGTAAATGCGCCACCCACCTTGAGATATAAGTTCTAAGGTCTCATTATAGTTACATCATTATAGCTACATACATTACCCCACCCTTCAAATCGAAACGCATTACTGCTTCACGGCAGAAAAAAAAATATATATACAACATTTTTTACAATTTTTGTCTGTCGATTTGTTCCGGCTAATCTGTGGAACGGCTGGACCGATTTTGACGAGACTTTCACTGATAGGTAGCTGATGATATAAGAAGTAACTTAGACTACTTTTTTTTAGCCTAGCTTTGCCCCACGGCGTCACCGGTACGACAATAACCGCGGGTAACATCGCGGAACTCAGCTATCGATAATAAAATTTAATGTTTCCGAAGCGAAGCGAGGACGGGTGGCTAGTATCAAATAAAACGTATCTTTAATTATAAAATTCAAAATTATAAATGTTGCAGATTAAGGCTTTTCACCCCTCGATAACATAAATTTGATCTATGCTCAATCTGAACGCAGAGCAGATAAATAACCAAAATAGTATTTCAATTCTGAACTACTAACTAGCCCAGGGAGATCAACATTATACAAGAACGCCAACATACACCAGGAGAATATGAATGCTAAGAGCTAAAAGGTCAAAGCGATACGGGGTTCTATTACGAAATGTCATTAGCGAACTACTGGAACTACGCTTCGTTACAAAACAGTGGAACATAAAACTAATTGATGCCGGGGCTCGCCTGCCTCCCGGGGTTTATGTTGTCCTGGTATCCTCCCTATGAAACACAGTGTAATAACGAAGCTAAATTAATTGTATTTTCTTTCATAAAAATGTGTTTTCATCATGATTGTCTCAAACTGGGATCAATGTGGGACAAAAATCTAATATGTAATTGTATAATAATGGTATCTCATACGTCTTGTGTGAAGCAGTAATGCGTTTCGGTTTGAAGGGTGGGGCAGCCGTTGTAATAACTATACTACCATACTACCTGGAGCCACTGCGGTCATCCACAGTGCGTTTCCAGAGGTCTTTTTTGCCACGTACCATCCGGCTATGGAATGAGCTCCCCTCCACGGTGTTTCCCGAGCGCTATGACATGTCCTTCTTCAAACGAGGCTTGTGGAGAGTATTAAACGGTAGGCAGTGGCTTGGCTCTGCCCCTGGCATTGCTGAAGTCCATGGGCGACGGTAACCACTCACCATCAGGTGGGCCGTATGCTCTTCTGACTACAAGGGCAATAAAAAAAAAATAAAAAAAAAAACTGAGACCTTAGAACATATCTCAAGGTGGGTGGCGCATTTAAATTGTAGATTTCTATGGGCTCCAGTAACCACTTAACATTAGGTGGGCCGTGAGCTCGTCCACCCATTAAAGCAATTAAAAAAAAGTTAAATGAATAATTGCAGCATTATTTGTTAGTTTACTTATTCGTTATTATATTTATACGTCGCTTATTCGATTGAGTGCTATGACATAACAATTTCTTTTTTATACGAGATTCGAAAAGAGTCCTCTGTAACAGCAGCTTTACCGTACTGATGTCCGTGGGCTACAGTAACCGCTTAGCTTGGAGAGCTATAAAAACTTCTTGAAGTTTTGTTCGCGTTTCTAAGACGAGTCAATGAATCTATCTTATACTCTTCAGATCCTTACTTATTTCTGGATGAAAGATCTCATTTTATTTTCTGTACTGATAATATTTACACAAAATTTCACGATAACAGCTCGTGCGGTTGAGAAGTGCCTGTCACAAACAAGCAACACGCGACAGTCGTGTGAAGCGAACGAAAAAATCTCTGGTAATTTACAAAACAATACTCAAAAAAACCAAATGTTTTATCTATACTAATACTAGGTGACCCGGCGAACTTTGTTCCGCCTTAGAGGCAATAAATGAGCAGACTTTTGATTTTATCAAGGTACATAATTTTTTTATTTGGGTAATTATTGTAAATTAAAAAAGCAAGTGTTTAAATGATTCTTTATTGGCCATGTATTTTAGTTGTTATCATTATTATTATATTTTCTTGTTCTTCTTCAGTCCTTTCACTCGCAATGTTTTCAACCCTAGTTGCATTACGCTTCGTTGGGAAAGATTTGATCGTGTTGGTCGCGGCATGGCTTTCTTAATGATTGCCTATCTCGGCACAATAAGCTAACAGAAACTCGAAACACATCAACCGGTCAATTCTTTTTTTTTTTTTAGGAGATTTTATGAACTGAGGATGATTAATTTGAAGCACTAATCAACTGGGATTTATGGCCAGACTAAGTATATATAAGATTATAAAGAGAAAAGATTTGTTTGTTTGCTTGTATTGAATAGGCTCCAAAACTAATGAACCGATTTGAAAAATTCTTTCACTGTCTGGAAGCTACACTATTCCCAAGTGTCATAGGCTAGAATCTTTTTTGAAAAAAAATAGGGATCCTTACTAAAATTCCATTAATGTAACCCACGGTGTAAAAAAATTACCTAAAATATTCTTTACATCGCGTGCCATGCGAAAGCTATTGATGATAGAATAAAATAATGTACTACGACTTTGTAGAACACATTATTATTTACAAAAAGTGTTACCACAGCATATGTCTAACTATTATAGTTATGCCGCAATAGGTGTTCTTTTATTTAAAAAAATAAAACAACGTCAAATATCGTTTTGAAATTTTTGTTAAAGACCCGAGCGGAGCCGGAGCCGGCCGCTAGTTTGTTACACAAGCCCAAGTTAACAGATTAACTGTCGTTTCTTCCGTGAAAACAGCAAACGCCTAAAAGGAAGGCGAAACTCGTAACCTTGAGTACCAGGGCGGCAAAAACTTCAGAGCAGTTCCGCTGACCGCAACACAGACGACAAAGAAGCCAATCCAGTCTTTCATCATCGGTCAGTTGCGCTAGAAGATCATCAGAGTTACGCAGTATGTATTCGCGGACGTAATTCCAAACGTATCGCAAAGACGCTTCCATAAATAACAGGCAAACAGCGACCTAAAAATATAAAATAGCGAAACTATTTACACTATATTATTTATTGTTATTTAACTATACATTCGAATAACATCTTTGGCGTTTCTGGCGTCCTAGTACCTACCGTGCACCAGTTCTACGTTCTTCCTTGATGGGTACAAAATGTATCAAGCAATAAGAAGACTAATTAGTTCCTCTTTATCTTCTATCTTCTGTCTATTCTTCTCTTAAGCCATTCATTGCCAAGCCGTATTACCGAGTTCTTTGCTTTATTACAATTACGCGATCAGGTATTGAGACGTACACTTTAGTCAACGAGAGCAGCTGTTTTTGAGACTCCGACCTTATGTCTCAAGGCAATTGAGATAAATTACACCGAAGCTTCGTTCTACACATATGAGTCGCTTGGTCATATTTGATTTTGCACCATAATATTCTTAGTGCAAAAATGTATAAATAAGAGAAAATAACCTATTCGTGAATACATATATTGGCGGCTATTCAATTGCGTTAAAAAGCAAACCAATGGGCCTCTCGATGGTTAGTGGTTGCCATCGATCATACAGATCAGCAATACCAGCAGCTAAGATACGAGAAGCAAAAAGTGTAACCGGTGCAGAACCCATCGTTATCTCTCTCGCACTTTCATAGACCGATATCTTTCTATATAAGCAATTCAAACACATTTCTCAACAATAGAGCCATAAGGTTGGATATACATGATTTCATTAATCATATTGAATAGTAGAAATTGCAATCGTTTGTAATTTATGACGTATAAAAACATTTTCACATTGTTATTATTATTATTTTTTGAAGTGAAACTTCTTTAGACGCGTTCAAAGTTAAATTTAACTAGCGATAGATTCGTTACGGCTAGAGAGAAAATATACAATTTAGGACGAGCGAGAGTGAGACAATAGAAAGAGCGTCTCGCGATCCACTCGACCGAGAGAGGGAGAAAGCGAGCTAGGTCGTTTCTCTTATATGCAGCATTTACATATGCAGATTACAAGAGAAATTTTATTTAAGGATGAAACATGAAGAAAACCACAATACTACATACCGCAAAAGAAGTTTAACTTCTTTTACGTGCACCATTTCCATAAGTCCTTTCTTTAATCCGTGAATTATTTATTCACTTCTGATTTTGGAAAAAAAACGTATTTTATGATTTTTACCTCACTAAGGGAACAGAGCAGTGGACATCCCCTCCAGAATAGTTTCGGAAAGATCGGGATCTCCTTGACAATAAGAGACGATGTTACCAGATGTACTAAGTTCGTTGGAAAATATTTGCTCTCTAAGAAGCTACCTAAAATAATTTTGAGATCGATTAGTAAAGTGCCTGCTACTAGACACATCGCGCTTATTCATAGTCTTTTTTTATTGCCTTATAGCCACCCTGATATGCCGTATAGCCCACCTGATAGTGAGTGATTACCGTCGCTCATGGACGTCAGCAACACCAGGGACAGAGCCAAAGTCGGTGCCTACCGCTTACTCTCCACAAGTCTCCTTTGAAGAAAGACATGTCATAGCGCTCGGGAAACACCATGGAGGAGAGCTCACTTCAAAGCCGGATGATAAGTGGAAAAAAAGATCTCTGGAAACGTACTGTGGATGAACGTAATGACTTCAGGTAGTATGGATGAGCTTTACTCCGATGGCGGGCGGTGCGATGGTAAAAACGAGATGACGGTATCATGTCAAACAATTCCTTAGAGTACTTCCCATGGAACATACGATACAGAATACAGAGGAAACCGAAGTCCCTCCGCCGACCGAGAAACATAGTCCGAACAGCGCTCCGTAGAAGTCACGACCCTCAGCATTGAGGAACATAATGCAAAGGGGGATCTTGTATGGGTGTTTCCACTACTACCAATACAAAATATACGATCATCAAAAGGTGGCAACTTAACGAGTCAGGGAACCTTGTGAGTCTGCACGCACCCTGCTTATTTCTGCCGTGAAGCAATAATGCGTTTCGGTTTGAAGGGTGGGGCAGCCGTTTTAACTATACCGAGACCTTAGAACTCATATCTCAAGGTGGGCGGCGCATTTACGTTGTAGATAGGCTCCAGTAACCACTTAAGATATAAAAAAAAAACAGAAGATGGCAACTTAATGAGTCAGGGAACCTTCTGAGTCCGCACGGGTAGGTACCACCACCCTGACCATTTCTGCCGTGAAGCAGCAATCCGTTCCGATTTAAAGGGTGGGGCAGCCGTTGAACTATAGAGGTGAGACGTAGTGCTCATGTCTCATGGTGAGTGGCGGCATTTACGTCGCTGATTTCTTTGGGCTCCGGAACCACTTAACGCCAGGTGGGCTGCGGACACATCCACCATTTTAAATAATAAAATAATTGGAACGTTTACTGTTCATTTTCTTACCATTTAATTTTTTTTCTACTAACCACTTAATTCCTAAGTTCTAATGGTCAAGTGTGTATATTCCAACAGGCTATACACTCATGAGTGCCTCAAAATACAGAAATACGTACCATCTTGTATAAAGTGCACATCATTAACTAACAATGACATGGCTATGACCAACGACACAGTTTTTACCATAATTATATTATACAAATTAAAATATCATACTATTATAAAAGCACATGATAACTAAAACTTAAATCTAAAAAAAAATCAACGAGTTTAAATTTTGACTTTGACAAGTAAAAAATACGTCACAACGTTTTTTTTGCATAATTTTTATGAAGAAATCGCGGTACATACAGCCAGGTGACCATTTTAACAAACAAAAAAGAACTTATCGTAATTCCACTTGTTTATGGTGTGTATTAACCCGGACACAATTTGTTCATTCATTGGTCCCTAGTTACGGTGGGCACAGAGTTCGGTCCTTGACCCTCTGTTGAGGATCATTAAGTATTACTTGCGAAAAAGCAGCCGAGTGACGGAAGACCCCAATTCCGACCGACCGGTACCAATTTTTCTAATGAAATACGTACTCAACAAATGTTCACGATTGCATTCCACAGTGAAGGAATAACATCGTATAATAAAAATGAAACCTGCAAAATTTTAATTTGCGTAATTACTGGTGGTAGGACCTCTTGTGAGTCCGCGCGGGTGGGTACCACCACCCTGCCTATTTCTGCCGTGAAGCAGTAATACGTTTCGGTTTGAAGGGTGGGGCAGCCGTTGTAACTATACTTGGACCTTAGAACTTATATTTCAAGGTGGGTGGCGCATTTACGTTGTGGATGTCTATGAGCTCCAATAACCACTTAACATCAGGTGGGCTGTGAGCTCGTCCACCCATCTAAGCAATAAAAAAACTGCTTGGCAGAAATAGGCGGGATAGTGGTACTTACCCGTGCAGGCTACAGAACCGCCTGCTACGAGTAAATGCCAGCTAGAGAACGCAATACGCTTATTAGATCCTCAGAAAACGCTGCTGTCCAGTCTTTTTTATTGGCTTTGTAGGTAGACGAGCATACATCTCACTTGGTGGTAAGTGTTAACCGTCGCTAATGGACGTCAGTACCGCCAGGGGCACAGCCAAGTCACTGCCTGCTACTGTGAAATTTCCACAAGCCCCGTTTGAAGAAGGACATGTCGTAGCGCTCGGGAAACACCGTCGAGGGGAGCTCATTCCAAAGCCGGGTGGTGGTACGTGGCAAAAACGATATCTGGAAACGCACTGTGGATGAACGCAGTGGTTTTAGAGAGAGAGAGAGAGAGAGAGAGAGAAAGAGAGAGAGAGTGAGTATTCTTTATTGTACAAGAAAAAAAAAAAATGCGATGCATTAAATACAAAAAAGTACAATTTGCGGTCTTATTGCTAAGAGCGATCTCTTCCAGACAACCATCAGGTGAACAAGAATCATTTGGAAACCAATTACACGCGGTGTACTACATTCTAGGTAGTATGGGAGAACTCTGCTCCGATGGCGGGAGGTGTGATGCCGAAAAGAAGATGGAGAGATCATCTCCTGCAAATCTCTTAGTTGCCTTTTACGACACCCACGGAAAAAGACAGGTTCTGCTATTCTAAGCCTGAATTAAGTTGTTATTAATGCAATTCACACGTTTAAAATTTGTTTTCCTATTAGATCGGTTGGCCGTTGCTTCTACTGTACAACCTTTCAGAGTGGAACGTCTAATTGGGACACAGCCCAAACCTTCAGAGTGGTGGCACTCATCACAGCAAGCCCGTTGGCATAACAATTGACAAAGACATATCAATAAACAAGGAGAACATATTAAAATCACGCACGTAAAATATATACGTAAAAACGGTTTCTTCACTCAAAACTTTACGACTGGCTATAAAACCGAAGATAAAACTTTTATTTTCTAAAGCGACAGTACATTTCGTTCAGTCGGTCCAAAATAATCAACTATGGATTGGTAGCATTTTTAATTTTTTTAATAATTTAAAATTTATTTATCTGAGTTAAGAAATCGCGTACTGAACTAAAAACTAAAAAATAAAACCCTGTTTTAATAACATAATGATAACTAAACAATGCATAAGTAGAAACACCCTATACATAGAATGTTTTTATAAGCATGAACGACGCTACAGCAGTCTTCAACTTTGTGTAGTTCGCTCTCTATGTTTAAAGTTGTTAAAGCATCCAAATATCTATATATTAATACGTGAAGCAAAAACTTTGTACCCCTTTTTACGAAAATTGCGCGGATGGAGGAGTATGAAATTTCCCACACTTATAGAGAGTATAGAGAAGCAGTGCACAATGCCATTTTTTTTAATAATGCATAAAATATACATTAAATCAATAAAGAAAACATTACACACACTATCATGTATTTGACATACACACGCATGCATTTAATTTATTTATTGTCAAATTGAGAATAGATTAAATATTGTTTGTCTTTATTAATATTTTTCTATAGTGTAGTCTTGGCGAAATTTGTGATTATAGAAGTATAATAGTCTTTGAAAATACTATCATGTTAGTGTACAAACCAGGGTTGTTACGGATGCAATAATTTAGACATCCGCGGATGCAGATGCGGATGCGGATTATTAGAAGTTCACATCCGCGGATGCGGATTGGATGCGGATGCAGATGTAATGCAGATGCGGATGCGGATTTTGCGATTTTAAAAGGATAATTATTTTAAAAAAATTATCCTTTTAAAATCCCAAAATCCATGAATAAATAACTGAAAATCAAATATAATTTTAACTTTTTATTTATTTAATCATATTTTTTGAACAAAATTATACAAGTTTTTGGTTTTACTTATGACACAACAGAATTTTAAGCTTCGAGTTTCATAATAAAAAAATCTTTGTTTAATAATTAACCTTAAAGATTGGTGAATTATATTTAATAAATAGCAATATTGCAGCCTTCTCAGCTTCCAACCTGTTTCTTAGTGGATTATATATTAACCCAGCTCCACTAAATAGTTATTCGCTGGGGACACTGGCTGGTGGAGGTGGTAAATATCTGCATGCTAATTTGGAGAGAATTTTTTTTCCTGTCTGCTTCATAATTTTTTTTCTTCAATTCCTTTTCCTTATTCGCACTTTGGAATAAATAAAACTCATCCGGGTGTATTTATTTCCGGTGATTTTTCAAAGAAGTAGTAGTGCGTCCCTTCCACGAGTAACGTTTATTGCATATCTTACACTCCGACTTCTGTCTATTGTATATTATGATATAAGGCTTATAGTCCAGATACTTCTTTTGATTGGTGGCGACATTTCACTTAATATTTATATAAAATATTCATTAAACACGCAAAAAGCAATGAAATACACAGTAAACACTGACTGTAACTATAATTTATTGACAATGAGAAAAAACACAACAAACAAAACCTGTAGGATCTTGTTACCAATATGCGCCTTCCTATTCGTCAGTTACCGAATGAAGTTAGCAATTACCAAACAAACTTGAAGCACGTGCCACTCCGGCTCCGCCCACTTTCTTTACATGTAGTTACTTGTTGAAATGAATCTGCATCCGTAAAACTCCGCATTGATTGATGCGGATGTGAATGCGGATGCAGATGTCTGAAATAATGCGAATAGTCCGCATTTGCAGATGCGGATGCGAATATTCGTAACAACCCTGGTACAAACTTACAATTCCAATTAATTATAGTCGAATTTCGACTACTGCGGGGACCACAAGTATTTTTAAATAAACTAAACATAGGTATATAACACATCATTACTAAGTACACTATTATATAGTTAAATAAGTTCTCAAGCGGTAGCTATAAAGCCATTCTTAACTTAACTAACATTATTCCTTCACGTCCGTGCAGTACACGATGCAAAATTTCCACTTCCTTTATACAGACTCTGTGAGCTGGATCATCAGCCGAAGCCTCAAATGCATCTCTCCAACAAAGTCTATATAAGCTTTATCCATATTAATTTCCCTTAAAAAAATCTTTACCTACTGTAATCATCTTAAACTACGTATTAAAGTTTTTTTTTACTTTTAATGTAAATGCTATCAACTTTCATTATTTGAACATTTCAATGTTTTCAATGAATGGAATTTCATACGTTAATTCAGGTATACCTTGCAGTAAAAAAAACAGGCTTATTATACGTATGTACCTATGTGGGCTCATAGTTCTAAGTACGCTTTATTTCTTCTTGCTTTTATGGTTGGTCCCCAATGGTTTTTTTTATTGCTTAGATGGGTGGAGGAGCTCACAGCCCACCTGGTGTTAAGTGGTTACTGGAGCCCATAGACATCCACAACGTAAATGCGCCACCCACCTTGAGATATAAGTTCTAAGGTCACAGTATAGTTACAACAGCTGCACCACCCTTCAAACCGAAACGCATTACTGCTTCACGGCAGAAATGGGCAGGGCGTGGTACCTACCCGCGCGGACTCACAAGAGGTCCTACCACCAGTAATAATGTGGGGTTCCCTAAGCGGGTAGGCGCTACACGTCCTCTCTTTCCATTCCAGCCTCTATACTTCATCTCTGCACCCATACCTCTTTCGCAAAGTTTTTTTAAGACACGCCTCTTTCACATTACCTCAAAACACGCCGTACCTTCAATAAAAAAGGATTAACAAGTATCAAACTCTTTAAACTGGAACCCATGTTTATTAAATGCTAAGCTAAGGAGAGAGATGGAACGAACCACCCAGTACTATTTACCAAGAAACCTTAAGTTATGAATTAGTGGAAAGAATTAATAGTTTGGATGGAACAATAATGTACTATAGACGCATGATCGAGAACAATTGTTTGCTTCAGGGAGCTGAAGATACGCGTTCTTATCTCCAGATTACCCAAACGGTTATTGTCATGCAAAATACCTGACCGCGACCACTTATTTACTGATTCCAGAAAATCCTTAAGAAGAGGAAAAATAATCACAACAGTGTAATTTCAATGACAATAAATTTTATAAGAAGCCTCGAAAATTCTAGAAATATATTCAGAATCTGTTCTATTGCTTTCGATATCACTAATGATAGACATATAAAAAGTGATATCAGAGTATGCACTGCGAGATTCAATACCTTAGTACTAATTTATGGTAGGCTTGGCTCTGTCCCTGGCATTGCTGAAGTCCATGGGCGACGGTAACCTCTCACTATCAGGTGGGCCGTAAGCTCGTTTGCCTGCAAAGATAATGTAAAATAATAGAGATGTACCACCAATTTCCGAATTAAATAATACATTTAACTAATCCGTAGTGTCATCTAAGCTAAATCAAATATAAATAGAACTAAAATCTTGTCAGATGTACTTATGCGATCCACATTGAAATCTAAATAATACGTGTCACTGTCGCGGGTAGATACCATCAACCTGCCTATTTCTGCCGTGAAGCAGTAATGCGTTTCGGTTTGAAGGGCGGGGCAGCCGTTGTAACTAGACTTGAGACCTTAGAACTTATATCTCAAGGTTTGTGGCGCATTTACGTCGTAGGTGACTATGGCCTCCAGTAACCATTTAAGACCCGGTTGGCTGTGAGCTCTTCCACCCACCTAAGCAACAAAAAAAAGTAATGAAAGACCTATCTCTCCTCTTTCTAAGCTTCGACTAAGTAACTGACTGCGTACGTTTCTATGTAGCCTTCAGTATCATCATCCAAAAATAAGTTTTTTTTTTCTTTCATCGCAACCTGTCCACTGTCCAGTGCTGAACATAGACATCTCCACTGATTTCCAATGCTACCTGCATCCAACGTGACCCAGCGATTCTCACTAGGCCCTCGGTCCATCTGTTAGGTGGTCGTCCCACACTGCGCTTGCCAGTACGTGGTATCCACTACAGGATATTTCTGCCCCATCGGCCGTCCAATCTTCGCCACTTCAGCTTACTAATCCTACGGACTATTTAAACTTACACTTTTTTTTTTATTACTTAGATGGGTGGACAAGCTCACAGTCCACCTGGTGTTAAGTGGTAACTGGAGCCCATAGACATCTACAACGTAAATGCGCCACCTTCCTTGAGATATAAGTTCTAAGGTCTCAGTATAGTTACAACGGCTGCCCCACCCTTCAAACCGTCCACCTTCAGGTGGTCGTCCCACACTGCGCTTGCCAGTACGTGGTTTCCACTACAGGATATTTCTGCCCCATCGGCCGTCCAATCTTCGCCACTTCAGCTTACTAATCCTACGGGCTATTTAAACTTACTGGTACTGATAAGTCTTCTTACAAAAAAATCTAATTACTTTCACCAATACGTACAATTTCGTTTACAATTTCATGGATGGTTTAACCTCTTTTAATTTTATCTAGAATCAAGCTATTGCGCTCGGAATTTAGTATAAGAATTCAAATTGATTTTGCTTTTTTATTTTTTCGCCATGGCAAAATGAAACGGACTATGTTATTAACAGTGACCGTCGCTGTCTTGACATTGTGCTCGAATGTCGAATTGAAAAACTACCAAAATAGTTCATATTATGAATTCGATGCGAAGGAAAGTCTGGTTTCTGATGAAGATTCAGCAACTAATGGCATTAAGGCCTTACTAGAGAAGAAATACCGGTTTAAGAACACAGGAGATTTTACCAGATACAAAATTACAAAGGGCACACATGATTTCCCAGGTAACTTGCTTTCGAATTATTAACTTAGATAAAGATAATGTGTGTGTAAATCTCGCACAGACTGGACGGTGGCTTATGAGACTCTAGAAGGTCGCGACAAGGCGGTTGAGAGCTAGGTAGACCTAGACCAGTACTTTGTACCATTCTTTATATAGGTACAGTATCAACCGGCTTTGGAATGATCTCCCCTCTACGGTGTTTCCAGAGCGCTATGACGTGTCTTTCTTCAAACGAGGCTTATGGAGAGTGCTTAACCGTAGGCCTGGCTCTGCCTGCGGTAACGCTGATATCTATGGGCGACAGTAACCACTCACCATCAAGTCAGCCGTATGCTCGTCTACAAAGCCTGCCTTTGTTTAAATTCTCAAGTGCCCATAGCTAACTCTAATCTTGGAAATAAATCTAATCTATCTTATTGTTTGTCAAGTATTTCCGAAATCGAACGAAGATGATCACATCGAAATGGTGTTTCGGACGTATGCCGCCCGCCGGATCGTGGGGGGCATGCAGACCAGCATCAGCGTATACCCTTACAACGTGGCGATAAGCCACAACGGCAGACATTGGTGCGGGGGAGCCATCATCGATGAGCAGTGGGTGCTGACGGCAGGACATTGCATGGAGAGGTGACCAAATTACAGCTTTGAAACAGTGTCTTGTAAAATTCGCAATTGATGGGTGGACGAGCTCACAGCCCACCTGGTGTTAAGTGGTTACTGGAGCCCATGGACATCTACAACGTAAATGCGCCACCCACCCTGAGATATAAGTTCTAAGATCTCAGTATAGTTGTAACGGCTGCCCCACCCTTCAAACCGAAACGCATTACTGCTTCACGGCAGAAATAGGCAGGGCGGTGGTACCTACCCGCGCGGACACACAAGATGTCCTACCACCAGTCAATATCTAAATCTAAAATGTTACTTTTGAAACTCACAATTTTAAAATAACTTTTACTTTTTAAATTGAAAAGTCATATCAAATCAATCGAATAACAAGCACCTTAGTCGTTCGCGACCCCGAAAACGGTAAAGCGCTCGAAACATCGAATATAACAAGATAACAATAAAAAACGTAAGATCAAAACCGTAAAACTAGTTTTAATTAATTCTACGACTTGCGAAAACCGAAACCTCAAGCACCGGTCACCATCCTCGCAGAAACCGTCGCTTCGACGAGTAAATTAGCCCATAGACACAGCCCACTGAGTTTCCCGCCGGATCTTCTCAGTGGGTCGCGTTTCCGATCCGGTGGTAGATTCTGCGAAGCACTGCTCTTGCTAGGGCCAGTGTTAGCAACACTCCTGGTTTGAGCCCTGTGAGCTCACCCACTCACCCGGTTACGCTGACATACCCTCTCAAGTCTATCAGATTAGGTAGGAAAAAAAACCAAAGCGAATGCTACTTTGGCGTCCATAGTTATATTATACAACCTTGAGACAATATAGAGACTAAGTCAGAATCTTCAATTGTATTGTAAAAGCCTATTGCATTTGTCAAACCGAAGCTCACGAAATCTTCGCTACATAACTAAGCAGAATGAGCATATATATAATACCTGACTTAGCAAAATAAGCTAAAGGCATGCTACAATATGGTATTTTGCTTTCCAGTGTTTTTGAGAATCCGAAAAATATGCGGCAATACACAATACGGGCTGGGAGCTCTTTCCATGACCGCGGGGGATACTTAGCTCGCATTAATAAGGTACGCTTAGACTGTATACATGAATAACCAAGCTACTTCGCCAGATAAGACATTTGAGCCAAAACATTCCCTATGATCTATTTTCACAGCGGCTGTTACAATCCTTTTAAAATTACGAAATTCACTCCAGCCGTTTTTAAGCGTATAGCAAATAAGTTTGGTGAGGTAATGAAAATGAAATCAATATCTTTACAGATATAGCCACTGTTTTTAGAAACAAATTTAGTTTAAAAAATTAAAAATAAACACGGTTATAGAGCAAGCCGAACCGATAAAAAGAATTAAATTAATAATAATTGATAATCCTGCTTATTGTTTTGTTATCTATCTATTAATATGTGTCCAAGCCTTGGTAGGAACTCGCGTGAGTCCACACGGGTAGGTACTACCACCCTGCCTATTCCTGCCGTGAAGCAGTACTGCGTTTCGGTTTGAAGGGTGGAAGGGTGGGGCAGCCGTTGTAACTATACTTGAGACCTTAGAACTCATATCTCAAGGTGGGTGGCGGCATTTACGTTGTAGATGTCTATAGGATCTAGTAACCACTTAACACCAGGTGGCCTGTGAGCTCGTCCAACCATCTTAGTAATCTATATATATATATATAAAAATGAATTACTGTTCGTTAGTCTCGCTAAAACTTGAGAACGGCTGGACCGATTTGGCTAATTTTGGTCTTGAATTATTTGTGGAAGTCCAGAGATGGTGTAAAAGGTGAGAAAATATAAAAAAGCTCGGAATTATATAAAAACAAATTTTTTTGTTTTTCCTTCGATGTGTCCCCTTGATTTGTCTTTTATTTATCGATTGAGGCACTACGAAGTCTGCCGGGTCAGGTAGTAATTAATATAAATAAATAGAATTACTTCGTAGTATAAAATCATTCTATAAATATTCTAAGCAAAATTTACAAGGTCGATCTTCAGATATAATTATGAATGTGTTTTTTATTTATTTATTTTTTATTGCGTAGATGAGTGGACGAGCTCACAGCCCACCTGGTGTTAAGTGGTTACTGGAGCCTATAGACATCTACAACGTAAATGCGCCACCCACCTTGAATTATAAATTCTAAAATAAAAAAAGAGATAAATATGAAAATGCTCTGAATTAAATAAAAATAACAATTTTGTTTCTCCTTTGATGTGTCCCCCGTCGGACAGATTCCTTTTGTTTGTTTTAAGTTTATTTTATACAAAAGTTTAGGTCTTTTATTTATCGATTGAGGCACTACGAAGTCTGACGGGTCAGCTAGTAAAAAATAAATAAATAAAATCATTCGTCGTGAAGTCTATGAAAATAGCAATCACAGATCAAGGTAATAAAAGCGTATTCAAAATAAAAATCACTGAAATTCTCAACAAAACGGTAGTACCTAATGCAATTTTTGAAGTGAAACTTCCTTATCGGCGTTGGAAAAAAATTTACCGTCACATTTTTCGGTTACGCGTCACTTTTTTCCGTTACGCGCCATCTGTTTTGTATTCATGTCTATGATAATAAAATCCTTTTGTTTAAACTTTATCTAATTTAACTTTTTTGTATTCATGTCTATGATAATAAAATCCTTTTGTTTAAACTTTATCTAATTTAACTTTATTTAACCAATTTCTAGAAAGTTGCATGTAGATCATTTTTCGAAAAATAAGGCCATAAA